GAATAGAATCTTTACAGATGGCATCAGAGTCACGCTTGTTAACATGGATATAAATACTTTGGACTAGTTGGTTACTTGGTTACTAACTTTATCAGGGCCAGGGGAATGAGGCGGATCTAACATTCCATTAGCTTTGTTGTTCAACCCCTGCTATAATTTTTTATTTTTTTATTTTTTTTATTTTTTTTAAAATAAAATTTGAACTTCTGTAGGGCATCTCGCAGGTGTTCGATGCCGTAATATGTGATCCTCCTTATGGTGTTCGTGCTGGAGGACGTAAATCTGGTGGCGTAAGCTTTTGAAAGGTGTTATTGCTCCATATACAGTTCCCGATGACAAGAGGCTACTGCCACTTACAGCTTAGTGGAGTGTGTGCATGATTTGCTTGACCTTGCTGCTAGGATGCTTGTACCAGGGGGACGACTTGTCTACTTCTACCATGTCATAAGAGACAATGAATTGGTATATCCCAATTTCCCAGGGCACCCATGTTTCAAATTGGTTGCTTCTTGCGAACAAACCCTAAGCGAACCATGATCAAGATTGCACAGTACACCAAAGATAATGCAGAGGCAGCTAGGATCAAGCATTTGGAGTTTTAAGGATAACCACTTGAAGTGGTTAGAAGGTGGTGACTTAAATCCAGCAGTTTTCGAACCTGCTGATAGTCAGATTAATGGTTCAGGTGAGGCAAAATTTTGTACAAAGCCTAAATACAGGGGCAAAAATGTGTAGGTTTAATATTAAATAGCCAATTTTTGGCGGTCTCTTTAGGTTTTTGGCCTCTCAAGTGTTAGTGTATTAGTAGGATAAATGTCAATTTTTGGCGGGTTCTTTAAAGTTGTTTACTGCATTTGTGGTATACCCACTTTGTACAAGTTTCTATCTCATGAATGCTATTCCATCATGCCTTGAGCAGTTACGGCCAGAGGGAAAAGGAATGCTTGTCAAACACAAGGGCAAGGCTACTAATGATGTTTACTTCGGTCCCGTAATAGCTCTCCGAGCTAATAAACGATTGAGGATGTTTCCATGATGAAGGTGACCCCTGTCTTTGCTTACTCGAGCTAGTACCTACTTTCCATAGTTATTGGTCGAGCATCTTCAAACCTCCTCTACCTCCCTTTGGTATCGCTCCTTGCATGCATTTGTTGATTTACTTCCCCCAACAATGAGAATTAGTATTCCCCCAACAATGAGAATTAGTATTTTGTATGGTCATACTTTTTGAGTTTTCGAGTTAAAGATCACTCCGAAAAGCATCCTCACTCCATTCCTTGTATTTCTGATCAAGAAATAGTGTTGACTGACTTGGAGCTGTTTCTTTGTTCTTTGATGTTGCAGACATAAAAATACTTATATTTCCCAAAATACAATTTGTAACTATTTATGTATCTTAATATACGAAATTTCGTCCTACAGATGTGAATACATGAATTACAACAAGTTGAACACTCGACCGTACACTAAAAAAGATTTCAATTATTTTCATAGTACTGGACAATTAACCTTGTCAAACAAGCCATCAAGATATGTTTAGTGTATTGGACGAACAAGAAAATTATATATCATTACTTTATTTTTCAAAAAAAAAAAAGGTGAATAAAGAAAAGATAGCAAATAAGCATCGGTAATGAGGAATGGGTCGGTCTCGGCCAAATTTGTGCACTAAAAATGTCATTAGTCTTTATTGAAAGCAATGGTCATGCTAAATCAACATCCAAAGAAAAGCAAGTAGAAAGATTAGGGTCGTGTTCATCTCTCTCTCTCTCTCTCTCTCTCTCTCTCTCTCTCTCTCAATATGAACAGGTCGAGATTGGCCGAGGCATGTCTTGTGCAATCATAATGACTTGCAATTTGATGTGGTCTTTTGCAAGCAAAGCCCAAAGAGAGGGGGGGAAAACAACTTAGTATATGGGAATTACTTGACTTTATTCAAAATTAATAAGGGTCAGTGTTGCGGAAACTCTCTTCAAAGATCTTCAAATCGGTGATTTTCGGGTCCAATTCAACGTACTTTTCTCTACCAACAACCAATCGAACCGACTCCAAATCACAACCAATTTAATTCATGTCGGTTGCTATTCAATCTTACCCATGTATGACAAGAAAATGTGATGATTTGTGGCCACAAAAGCTAGGAAAAGACACAACAAAGATATACTATGAAGGAACCACTAATTATACAAAGTAAACAAGTATTTTGGATACTTCTAGGGAATGTTTTTCACATACCAAAGGGGGCAGCCGGGATTCCTCTTGTTTTTCTCACAAACCACACAAATCATAAAAGAAAAGTTGCTAGAGTTATAGCCTTATATATACTCTAAGGTTAGACTTTTAATTAGACCTCTAAGAGACTTAAACGGGCCAAAATTCAAGTCATCCAAGAGGGAATACAATTGGACCGGATGGAGCTCATAGACTTGGTTGTTGGACTTATTTCATACATCGGCCTATGCTTATGAAATAATTAACCTACGTTAATATCATAACCCGGGATTTATTGGGTATAAAAAACCCAACAGTAAGTTTTGATAGGGGTTTGGAAAGCCAAAAACTATTTTGAAACTAAAAAACTATTTTTGAATATGTTTGAATAAGTTTCTAAAAGTGTCTTGTCTCATTATAAGAGCTTTAAGAGAGTTGACTTAATTAAGACAACTTTCTCAGGATATGCTCTTTTATAAGAAATGTAAGGAAAAATTGAAACTCTACAAGTATAAGAAAAACTCTACCAAACGTCCGAAGCATAGTATATAGTTCAAAGGGGAATTCATTATATACATATACATTATTCTGTCTCTCCTGCACGTGCTGTTGTTTGTAAATGCAGACTTTATGATTTGAGATGATTAGCATGTCAAGTGCTTACGAGCTAATTAAGCAATGAAGTAGTTTTATTATATCCAACCTTATGGACATAGGATCTTTATCGAATTAACACCTTAATGTTATGTAACGAGTGTGAAAACTAATAATCGTACATATTGAAGTATTAAATCATATTGAAGTATTAAATCATCTCATCTGAAATTTTAAGCTATTAATGATGACATTCATATTGGCGATCATTATACATAATTTCTTCATTATTCCTTGCTCTGGTATCATGTTGAACTGCTTAATCTTTTAAATTACGTTAATTTAAATGTGACATTTTTTAATTTAGTTTTACCTTCAACGTCTTTTGATAAATGATCATGCCCGATCCAATACATGATAATTGAACAATCATCGTTTAAAGGTTTGACCTCCTCCCGGTGCATAATCTGTCAATCTTCTGCTCTACATATCCATGGCTTAGGTTGACACACTTCAAAAGGTTCATCAACCTAAGATTGATCGGTCCGAGTAGTCGAGACTTTTTTAAGGAAAGAGTGAGGATTTGTGTTTAGGTGGGCCATAACTTATCTAATCACACACTTTGTTAATACCAAGAGCGATACTTAACCAGAAAGTTAAATCAATACTACCTAGTCCTAATTGATAGGTCTAAGGATTAGAGGAAGGTAAAAAGTAAACTAAGAACTTGTTTTCTAGTCAAATTTGTTTTTAATACAAAAGGATAACGATTGATGAAGGTAAAAAGATTAAAGTATTTCATATTTTATTAACTAATTTTGACCAATACAACTTGCAATAGCCATCATTAACTTTAATATGCATAATGTTGAAAGCAAGCTGAAAGTTGCAAGTTCCGAAGCTCTTTTTATTTTGAAAGTCGCACACGAGAGATCGAGATATGGCCCCAAGACTAGGGAAGGGGTTTTTTTTTTTTTTTTTTTTTTATTCATTTTTTTTCCCCTAATTGATAGGTCTAAGGATTAGAGGAAGGTAAAAAGTAAACTAAGAACTTGTTTTCTAGTCAAATTTGTTTTTAATACAAAAGGATAACGATTGATGAAGGTAAAAAGATTAAAGTATTTCATATTTTATTAACTAATTTTGACCAATACAACTTGCAATAGCCATCATTAACTTTAATATGCATAATGTTGAAAGCAAGCTGAAAGTTGCAAGTTCCGAAGCTCTTTTTATTTTGAAAGTCGCACACGAGAGATCGAGATATGGCCCCAAGACTAGGGAAGGGGTTTTTTTTTTTTTTTTTTTTTTAATCCATATTTGTACTGCAAACTTTACTTAAAATTGTAGCAAGCTAAAATAGGGAGTATTTGGAAGTGATTTTTCATCCCAAAAAATTAATTTTTTGACTGTTATTTCACTATTCCAATCTTAAAGTTTGACTTCTTCTCTCATAGGTGGTCCCCACTTTTCTCCAAACAGTCAAAAAATCAATTCTCAAAATCGCTTCCAATCGGAAATTACACATGATGACATCTTATAACATGACTTGTCAACATTATGTGAGAGAATTCCCTTATTAGTGAAACACTTCATCGAGTCGCTCCATTCTAGAGAAAGTGCTGCCTTTCGGGTAGTAGAAGCCAAAAAGATCAACCTAAATAATTCATTTAACCTATTAAAATTTTATGCATATGAAGTCTTAATTTTATTTCTTGTTATTGTACCATGATTATTTGCAATTTTATTTTCTACTATTGTACCATACTTGATAAAGTGTTTTTAAGTGATTATAAGATATATCACGTACAAATAATAAGGGATAGTAATTATGGATTGTAAGAGATATTAAAAATATAAGTTAGGTATGATCTACTTAAATTATCATTTACACTTTGATTAGTTTATTTCTTGGCAAAGTAGAGGGAAATTACCTCATATTTTGTGGGTTATATGAAGCTTAGTGACTTATTAATGAGAAAAAGAAAAAAATAATTTACAAAAATTAATCCACAATTTCTTTTTGAAGAATTTTATGCTTGCGTCATAATGACTTAATGCTTCCCTAAGCAGACACCCATAAAAAGAAAAATATTTCTTAGCTTTGTGATGCAAAACTACCAAATTCCCATCATACCATAGAAAAGCTAAAAAGGGCTACCCTCCCATTAGTATATAGAAATGCCAAACTCCCTACATCCTACAGAGTGGTTAATGGGCCCCTCATATCCAATAATCCCTGCACGTGACAGTCCCCCAACAAAATCATGAAATTACAGAATTTTGAAGCAACTTTGTGCCGAATAGAGACACCAGTTTGATACTTTCATCCATCTTATCTTAAGCCTCGTTTGGCCCCATTAAATCTAATCAAATTAAGTTAAATTTTCTCTCTCCTATTTTCAATCACACAATTTTCAATAAAATAATATTATACGTAAATCGAAAACTTTTCAGTGTTTGACAACTATTCGTTTTTCAAAAAAAAAACACTTCCTTCCATTATAATCAAAATTAATGAGGACCAAACGGGTTCAATTTTTGTGGTAGATTGTTCTGTTGACCATCTTATTTCGGAATCACCTCATAAGTATTTCGTGTAACCATTCATTAAATAACAGTATTGAATGATGTTTTACTCATATAATCTAACGTATTAAAAAATTGTTGAACATATAAATAACATAAATTTGCATTAATTGATAACATTTAACCAAGATCGACAATACATTCTAAATATATAGAGGGTAAGTTCCACCCTTTGGATCCTACATTCTTGGATCTAATTTGGCAAACTAATTTCGTCGAGATCATCCAACGACAAGAAAACTTCGTCCATGCATGAAAGTCCTGCACTGTCATCATCATCGTTATTGTTATATTGCTGCACTCGACACACCACCCATTTACTATATTCCTTCAAGAAAATCAAAATAAAACAAAGTTAATTAGTAACCTTACTTCCTCAAAACAATGTAGCAACTATTTATGACAAAAAAACTAACGATACAACAATACAAAACCCATAAAATTTTGATACATGCGCAAACAAATGCACGAAATGCATGTCTATTTACTATAAGCAAGATATATATTAGTTTTTTCGTGAACTCTTAGTCATATAGCTAGTTCATATTCCAGAACATGTACACCACACGTTTTCTTTACGATTATGTAGAATTTTTCACTTGCCATCTTGGAATTTCTTCTTTTTGATGATGAAGAATCAAAGAGCCCAAATTCCTGCATTATCCAGTTTGTTTTAACACCTTGTGGAGATTCACCCATGAAAAAGGCATAACATTTCTTCATGCCGACTTTTTGGGCAGCAGCACTCGAGTATATTGGTTCATCTACACCCAAAGACTGCCAATATCCACTCCCACTGATTCTGCTTTGTGTCCTCCTACTGTAGAAGTACCATTTGTTACCTTCACACATTGCTTTACCTAAATGTCCAGGAAAAAATATGATTATACATGCATATATACATACAGAAGTACATAATCTTGATGAGTATATATTACCATCTAATTCCCATGGATCATATGAATAAATTTCAAGATCAGGGATGCAATCAGGGTGGCAATGTAAAAGGGAAGCCTTTCTCTGAAGAAAATGGACTACAAGCTCTTCATCACTGGGATTAAATCGAAAGCCTGGTGGCAAGTTGAAATTATTCTCCCCCATGAATCAATGGTTTCTTTTGTAGAAGTGAAAATGTAGATGTATGGTTGTGGTCCTTGTGGAGAATGGATATATATAGTAAGTAGAGAGAGAGAGAGAGAGTGTGTGTGTGTGATCAGCAGCACCATCAAGATTGAAGCATGGCCATTATTTTTTATATATAACTGAGTGCTCTGCTGGTGTGCTGCGTTAATTCCAAGTAACAGGATCTCTTGGCATTAGAGGGAACGGGAGGGGGGGTGTGGGGGTGGGGTGGGGTCAATAAATGTATGTATCTATATTTGAGAATTTTTTGGAAATAAGGTATGCATTTATCAACAAAGAATAATGTTATCAGTCATCAATATAGATAACTACATTTGATATGTTCAATTAAATTAATTATGTAACATCACATTTAAGTGAATATATCATCTAATATTATGTAATTATCATCTATACTGGTGTTCGATATCAGTGATATTGAATAGCATTTATTCATGGATAAATGTTGATAATGTGAGTCATCATCACAATTCATGCTTATATCATCAATCTTGAGCAATCCAAGTGCAAGTCATGGATGTCTCAATCTTGTTGAGCCATTGTCTAAAAGAACTGTTAAAGAGGACAATTTTTGTTTTTTTTATCAAATGCTTGAGAGGTGAAAAATTTTGCAAGTGGACGACTTAAAACTTGATCATCGGACATGTTCTTACTCTGATATCATGTTAAATTATTTTTTATAAAAAATAATAAATAAATGATAAACTTGTCATCCATTAAATTTTTGGATTATTGGGTTATTAAATACTTGTCTTTGTGGGGGCATATGATCTTAAATTGAAAGCCCCACCTGATGGAGTGGCCATAAACCGATTATGATCATAATTTATTAGATGCACGAGAAATTGGGTATCCTAAATTTTCACGGCTCCATTATTTTTTATTCTTTGGTTGAATTTTATTTATTTATTTATTATTATATTTTTAATCAAGACTGAGTTTTAATTTACTCATTTTATAAACCACTTATGTCGGATAATGATGGTGGAATAGGATTAATGAATTCAATGGATTTACCACTACCTATTTAACCAATGGGAGATTGTAGTAACTGTTGATAAAAAAATGTAGGAAAATCTGAATACGTTAATGAACTCCAAAACACGAAAAAGTTATCTTTTAAGAGATATTTCTTCCCTTATTCAACAAAGTCACAACTGGGATATGATAGAAAATTTCTCTCAGGATACAATGGAGGCGTTTGATTCAAATTGTGACTATTTGATCAAACCAAGAAAACACTCGAAAATAACTGATTGATGTCAAGAGAAAGAAGGAAGAATAAATTGTTTAATGTGTTTGCAAATGAGAATTCGCCTAGGATTTATAGAAACCGAGACAACTGTTTGCATAGGTGTATCCCTTGAAATCCTTGCGTACATTTATTGGAAGTGACTGTTAAAAAATGAACAGATGCACCTATTCAAAAACTTTAGAAAATTAAATTCTCTTTCGGGGGCGTTGCCCCCTCGACCCCCCGCGACCTGACCAGGCAGGTCGAACCCCGTTGTACAGCGACAAACACTAATCCGACCGACAAATCATTCGCAAAACAAAAAATTAAGCACATGCAAAATGATGAAAAATATCTAACAGTAACTATTATTCTTATCTAATTAAGTCCAATAATAGCATTCTCCTTCATTTCAAAATGACATTAATTGAAAGAAAGAAAAGTCCAAATGGAATTCTCCTCTCTTTCGCATCTTTCGATCACTCTTGTTTTCGAAGGATTCCCTATTGTTGGCCTAACATGACTACAAAAAGCATAGTTTTACAAAAATTTCCCATCGAGGTTCAGTTAATTGCACAATATTTTTATTAACTTTCAGCCTCTCAATTTTCTTATTAGCAGATAGGTGGGTAATCCGTTCTATGATGAGTGAATCTTGTAGGCAATTTTATTACCTTTCCTATGCCTATTTTTTTTTTTTTTATGACGGGGGAACTCGCAACCGCTACCTTTCAATTACGTACTGGGCAAACTCTCGGACTGACGTAATAGCCTGCAAACTCATACACCTATTTTTGTAAGAGGAAAGCCTGTTAAAGTGCTTCTCGAATCCTATTTTCGAGCTGAACCGTTGTGAAAATTTTTCTCAGTCCCTCCACTATGAGAAGGATTTCTAGCTAGTCTTCCTTATTCACTAGGAAGAGAAGCTTCGGACATGAAGCGACTTTGGAGCATCCCAGTGTCCTGGAGTCAGAGGTCAGCCCCATGTTAAAGAGCGGGATCAAAGACCTTTGGATTTCTCTTTAACTGTGCTTGGAACTTTAAATAGCAATACTCTTTATCTTTAGGCCCACAAAAAGGGGCATACTCCTACATCTACGTATTCGAAGCCTGATTGAATCACAGGTATCTTGTATGTTCCAAAGTGAAGAAAAAAAAAGATTTAGGCTCAATTGTTAGCACTGACTAGCGTCGAAGTTGTATAACTAAGATTATGTGAAAGCCTCAATTAGAGTGGAGTGACAGGACTACGTAAGTATCATGATAAAGGGATAACTTTAGAAAAATATCAAATGTTCGTTATTCCGCATTTTACAGTAGTGAATTTTTGTTCATGTCAGTTCATAATAGTTTAGTAGAGGCATGGTTTTTGACACATCAAGGTTCAAGTAACAACATGAATATCTTAAATTTAACTTTCTTCCCAGTGATGATAATGTATGCACCAAACGTTCATATAATTCACAACAGTGCTAGAAGTGTTAGCATATATGTAACAAACATTGTGTGTATAGTTCTGTACACTACTATAAGCTGTAGCTAACACGTTTAACATTCAAACTGGGGACCTATCATCCTACCATGTAGATGCCAACAGCATATAATTTTTGTGTTCATGTCACCAATATATTATGCTAATGAATATTTGTACTAGTAATCTAGTATAGTTGCAACCCCACAAATGTCCAGTCCATTAATTCTCCTAAGTCCTAATCCATATAGCATAAAATTTTGTACCTAAATTCTCCTTATCCATCCTATCCAACCAGTTATAGACACATTCTGAACAAAACTTTGTGCAATCAAGCATGCGAAACAAAGTATAGTGGCTTTACCCACAGTCGATAGGTTGAATTGAACGATATTAAAAATGATAAAATTGGTATGTATGTAAAATATTTCTTAATCGTCACCTAACATATTAATTTTGTTCTAATAGTATTCGTAGAGTCTTTGAGGCCTTCATATTGAAGAATTCCAAGAAGATGTTCCTACACCACCACGAGTAATTTACTAAATAAAAAGTTACTTATTCACCGTATAATTTAACTTTATAAGCTTAGCAAACATTATCCGATATCCTGCCACAATCTTTACTAGAAGGGGATAGATTGCTCACTTGTAGTTAGTATGTGGTCATTTCATAGCAAAACCAAGTGTCCTAACACCTCCAAATAACTACGAGCTTTTTTCATAGTCCATTTCTATCCAAATACAAAACGAAGGTTTTGATGGTTAACATTTAACGGACAACTTTATAAAATCTCGTGTTATTAATCCTTATAGACATTTATGTCAACTCTGTGAAATCCTTATTACAAACTCAGTCTTGAATTGTTGAAAAGATTGAGAATAATAAAAGAAGTAATTTTGAAGAGTTTTATCATGTGGCCGTCTAATTTTACATTTTTAACTGTTATTAATAGTCAAAGAAAGTCAATTTAAATTCCAACTGAATTGACAATCTCTTGCCTAGTTAGTTGATGTAAAATTTGTACATTGTTATATCTCAATCATGATGATTAAAAGAGTTAGGAATTCATGCACCATTAACACGCATGGGAGCCTTAAGTTTCATGGGAATTTTGAAGGCTCAGTCGCCGTATAATACTAATTTTCAACACTCATTATATTCAAATTTAGGATAGCGCCGTGCACATAACACCATTCACAGCCCCCGCAAATGAGGGGCCCCACGTCGAGGCGTGGGGTCCCCCATGTGAGGGGGTTGTACGTGGACTGTACAAGGAGAAAATGTCGGATTGTACAAGAAAAAAACCCTTTATTTATTTTCAAAATTTCTCATAAGGAATAGGATATTACTTTCATAGGCAATTATATGTATAATTTTATTTATTTATTTATTTTATATGATTTTAGAATCACTTGAAATGAACTCATTGTAAAACTTCAAAAACTAGGATTGTAAAAAGTTAAGAGGCCGACAGACAATAAAATGCTTCTAATTGAAATGAAAGCTTACCTAACAACTCACTCAAACTAGGAAGAACTCAATGGTGTCGTTAAAGGAAGGTTGGGAATTTGCTCCTCCCAAATTAGGTTTTCTACAAATAGATAAGACAGACAAACTTGTAATAATCAATCACAATCTAACACAATCCATGCCATGACGTTTTCATTAATTAAAACCAATGGTTTTTATGATTTTGCCAGAGGAAGATTTGGGATACTTGATGGTGCGTACTACGTCCGGCTGCATAGGACTATATAATTACTAATAAATTTATCACATATCCTTCTTTTCTTTTCTTTTTATTTTTATTTTTTTCGTGTCTAGTTGTGTGTACAAAACTGAATTTGAAAGTCTAATTGTACAATCGTCATAAATGGATTTACAGTGTAATGTTTGTTCTATCTTATGTATCATACATATCAATGCACTTGGATAGGCGGTGACATTTTTTTTGGGAACCAAATAGAACTAATCGGTTTCAATTCCTCTAAAGAACAATTCGATTTTGGGACATTTACCGAGAACTAATCGATTTCGATCCGATTTTCAGTGTTGTTTGAGAATTCATTCGATTCTCCCAAGTTTTTTCCCCTAATTTTTGGGCATAATATAATGCTCTTGTTCTTTTTTCTCTCACACACTCTCTCATTAGTCAAGTTTTCCAATTTTTCTCCGCTTCGATTTCTTTCACTCTTTTCTTCCTTCTATTTTTGTGTATTTTCAATTTGACAAGTAGTTTCTTTCTCTATTTTCATAAATTTTCCAATATAAAGAGTCGGATCAAATCGAACCAAAATTGATTGGTTCGGTTATGAATCCAATGGTTCCATTTCTAATATTTTCACTGGTACTCAGTTCAATTTGGTTTCTTTTGAATTGGATTTAATTCAGTTGCGTCCACTCCTATACTTGGACAATAAATGTACGTTAACGGAGTATCTTAGCATTTGAACGGGAGTCAATAACACTTTACCTCCATACAATGTTAGATATACAAACTTGAACTCTAATACCATATTGGTCTAGATTATCACTATAAAATTGGTTTATTTTTTCCAATATGAAGTTTTCGTTCACGGTTCATCTTATAAGTCTCCATTCTCAGCGTATTTAAGTGATGTAAGACATGCTAACGAATATCATAGATATTTAGATAAACTGTCATCATTTGATACTAAATCAGGAATCTGAATAATATTAATCATTTAGTTTTTGATAGGATTAGGCTTATCCAAATTATGGTTTAAGAGCCGTGACAAAATTAAACTAATGTGATTAACGTCTCAAATATGATTATTTCATGGCTCAGTCACGTCAATTCTCTTTATACATTATGCAAGGTCACTTGTCAATCTTATTTCTTATGGCAATAATTGTTATTTTTTGATCTTATTTCTTTCTACCTTACTCGTTAGCTTCCCATCTTCACACAAAACAATCTATATTAATGCAAGAATGAAATGACACGCGAATAATAATAAAAAGAATCTTGTCCATAATATAGAAATGGGTGTTGCTCGAATTTAATTTGAATGGATGCGAAAATTTTTGTTATTCACCAAATAACGGGAAAAACTAAAATATCTTATTAAAGAAGAAAAACGAATGTAATGTTTTCACAATCTTAACACGTATTTAACGACTCAAAATAAATTCTAATGACATTGAGATCCTAATTTTGTAGATAAATATGAATAAAACTAAGAAACTACAAAATAAATCTGAAAAAAAAAAAACAAAAATACTCTTAAACTAACTCAAAATAATAATAAAAAATGCTAAAATGGACTCCTAGACGGTTAAATTTGATTATGAATTGAAAGTTATGCACGTTTTTGTAGATCCTTCTTATTTTTTCCATTTTCTAGCTTATTTATGATTTTCTCTTCTAATTGTTCCGCATCATATATTCTATTACAAGCTTGCCTTAGCCCCCGTTTGGCCCCCTTTAAAACTTTTCAATTTAATTTAATTTTTTCTCTCCCCTACTTTCAACCACAAAATCTTCAATAAAATTATACTATACTCAAATCAAAAACTTTTTAACCACACAATATTCAAAAAAATATTATTTCTCCCATTATAAATTCAAATAATGGGGGCCGAACAAGCCCTTAATATCGTTTGTAAGTTTAAATTTATAAATGTTTTGTAAAAAGTTATTTACATTCCGATCCTAGTGATTCAATATTGAGAGTTCCAGAGAGGTCAAAAAAAGAGTACGGCACGTCATCCCCCAACTTCTGTGTGGGTAAAGTGCTATTACCTAAACATTTGCGCCACTTAGTTGGAGGTGGCCTCAGGGTGCACAAGTTGAATTATCGCACAGGGCTTTAACATTGTAGAGGCAACAAAAAATTTTTTGTTATAGGTTTATATATATGTATAATTATATATTTAGTCCTTATTTGAGTCCCATTATTTGGTTAAAATATACATTTTAAAATAGTAGATTACTGAAAAATGTGTAGTTAAAAATAAGTAAAAATTTTGGATTTATGTATAACATTATTTTATTGAAGAATGTAATTAAAAAGAATAGATAGAAAAATATGTTTTTATAATAATAGATATCAAACAAGGGCTTAAAATATTTAATTAATTTTAAAATGTAAAAATTTTTCTTTTTGTATTAGTTAAAGGGCACAATATTTATTAAAAAATAGATTAAAGTGGAAAACTAATAACTGTTATCATCATAATATTGATGGCAAAGATTTGTTTCAAGAGTTAAAAATTTTGCGAAATCTTTTATTAGAAGAAACAACAACTTTTGATATATTGACTTATTTGAAAAAATTGGATTACTTTCCAAATTTATTTATTGCTCATAGAATACTATTTTTGGACATGCCAAAAGAAATTTTTCTTTCTTTTCAAAATTTGAAGTTATTAAAATCTTATTTGATTAACCATGTTACAAGAACGATTGAATGTGATATTTTTGATATCTATTGAACAGGATTTGGTAGAACGCATTAATTATAAAAGTTTAATTAGATAGTTTGCTTCTAAAAATATGCAAGAAATATTTTTACCTTATTCATTATATTTCAAGGTTTACACGTGGTATTTTCTGTTTTTTATTTCAAGGTTTGTTCACATGGAATTGCACAAAAAGGTTAGGAGATTGAATGGTCCTTTGTTGATGAGTGATGACAATACATTTTGATGAAGTTCAAGGTGCTTTTGAGCTTTACTTGTATTTTTCTTATTCATAACATATAAAAAAATAAATATTTAAATGTCATATTTTTTACAAAGTAATAATATTGTTGAAATATTTTTTCTTAATATATTTTTAATTACATGAAAAGGGTACCGTTTTAAAATGTCACTTGATATCCCAAATATTTGGGCCGGCCCTGCACATAGTACTGAGAGAATGTGGTGTGGTATTTCTTCTTAGAAAAATTTCATAACTATAATACTTTAAGAATATAATTTCATATTTAACGAACTTCAAAAATTTTCAAAAATCAAGTGATTACATAATTGATGGACCTTTGCCATGTGTAAAAAATATTTGCCTATAAAGGCACATAATGTCTTCACTTCATACACTTGAGGGTTTTTTTTTTATAAAAATAATGCTATTTGCAGCCGTTCACTACAGCAGTTGTCCTACGTGGCATATACATGACAGGTGATTATTTGATGCATTAATGAATAAAAAAAACTACCACATTAATGTATCAAATAATCACTTGCCATATGTGTGCTACGTAGGCGACTGCCGCAATGAGCGACTACGAATAACACTACTCTTTTTATAATTATGCCCTTTTTAATAGATTCTCTTTAGAATTTATTATTCCAAGAAACAATTCTACCACCACGGGCGAATGGAGACTTAACACCGCCCTTCTTTGCAAGTATTGAGGCAGCCTACTAGTTAGATGGTAAATCTTGCCAACTTGCCAAATGGAGAGCAATCCATATCACTAGGTGATGTTACATGGAGGAAGGTGTAATCATGTGGAGGAAGGTATAATCCATTTTGTACGCCAAAAGTGTACAAGTAGAATTATCCCACACCAACTTGCCAAGTTACCAAACTAGAGGGCCAATTTCCTGGATTCGAGCAATTTAGGTTCCAGCTAAGGACATCTCCAACGTTAACACCAAAACACCATTTTCACCAAATTTTACCAAATATACTGCTCCAACCTAACACCAAATCTTGCACCATTTTAGTACAAAATGGTGATGGTGTAAGTGAATAGTGTCAAGTACGGGTGGACAAAATGTCCATACCAAACCAAACCAAGCAGTTCGGTTCGGTTCGGTTCTATAAAAAAATTAATGGTTTGGTTCTTTGAACCGAGAACCATTTGGTTTTAGTTCAGTTCTAGTTCAAAAATCAGAACCAGAACCAAATTTAATATTTAATTTTATATATAATAATTAGTAGAGACCCTAATTTATATTCATTGGAGATAGCACATTAATTGAACACAATTTATTAATCAATTAGATAAACAACTCATTAGTTGTCTATGCCCTAATTTTGTATTTATTTCACTCATTTTCAATTTACACAATGTCACAGCATATTGGTAATGCATTTCATCAAGTCAGTGGAGTGTCATTTAAGATTAGAAAATGAAAATTGGTCAGCTATTTAAAAAACCTCTAAACTCTTTTTTTTCTTACTTGATTGTTGATGAGTTATTTGTGTTCTTCACAAATAGAGGAAAACCAAATAAACATCAATGAAATATTAAATGGTTAATGTTGTCCGTAGAAGTAGACTATAAATTTTTTTATAATTCATTCTTTATTGTAGGGGTGTGCCTTCAAAACTACTACAATTAATTTAGTTTTTTTGTGGCGTAGTCTCATGAGACGTTGATAAACGGGCGTTTATTAAATATAATTAGCTTTTTCATCCAATCATCTGCTATCACCTCAAATTATGTCATTGCTTCTATTAAATTTGGGTAAATCTTCTTGGACAAGGTCATGTTGAACAGGTGCCGAATTGGCGGCGACGGACAGGAAACCCATTAATGTCTTTGACAAAATCCATTTTTAAAACCTTCCAAAACCAGTATAAGTAATTTGCGACATATTTGTGAAATCTCATATTTGAGAATTTTTGGATTGTTCTTCCAATTTTACCCTCTTTCAAATAATTATTCTCAACCCACATATTATTTAAAACTAACTTGTAACAAAAATATTATGACTTAAAAAATTCATTAAAGAAGCAAAAAATTACTTTATAACTAAGTAAATAAATTAAAATTACTTTTGTGTAAAAAATTGCTTACAAAGTAAAATACTACTAATAGGACAAAACTTATAAAATATTAAAAGTTACTTATAAATTAAAATTATTTATAAACAAAATAAATTTATAACCATAAAGTTTAGGATTACTTATAACCTAAAATTTTAATTATAAGTAAATATTTCTCTTTTTAAGTTAAAAATTGACTTAATATATGGAAAAATTACTTATAAGTAAAATCAAATGCCACTTAGGCCATATTTGAGCCACATTTTTCAGAAAAATACATTCTTAAACATTGATTTGATATTATTTCAACTACATATTTTTCAATAAAATAATATTACACGTAAATCTAAAACTTTTTTTTTTAATCACACATTTTACATCAATACACAATTCAGAAATGCATTCTAAGGAAAATAATGTGGCTCAAACAAGGGCTTATGAGTAAAAACATTCCGCGCCAAAAAATAAAAAATAAATAAATAATCATAAATTGAAAGTTTCATTAAGGGGCATGTATGCAATGTTATTCTTTACTAAAACTTAAATACCCGGATGATAAATTTCAAAGTATTGGTCCCAAAATGGAACGCCCCCGTGAATGTCCAAAATTGGTACTCAAAACTTCCAAACAAGCCCTTATGCTTGGTGTTTGTTGATTGGATAAATCTATATGTACATAATTTTTTGTACATAAAGGTATTTTTCACTCATATGAGATGGGATCCATCATAATAAAATATTCGGACGAACCCCACCCCATGTGAGTGGAGGATACCTTGATGTACAAAACATCATGTACATCAAGCAATGCCCTTGTTGATTTTGAAGTCAATTTGCTGAATTAGAAACCCACCATAAACCTATTTTGTTTGTGGGATGTCGTCGTGAAGTTACTATTTTTATTAATGAAAACCGAGGATCGAATAAAAATATATTTAACAGTGACAAAATTGTTCTGCTTTTCTAGCTGGAATGGAAATCTTATTGTTTTGTCTTGTTCGACCAAATTTATCTGTATTCTAAATTGTTCTATAAAAATTTAACCATGCGAGACAGGCGAGGCCTTGGATGAACTGAAGAAAAATCTGAATGATCCGAACGGCGTTCTTCAGAGTTGGGATCCTGTCAATATGACCCCGTGCGATTTTTTTCGTGTTACATGCAACAGTAACCATAGTGTTATTAGAGTGTAAGCCTGCACGTTTTTGAATCAAATATCTTAGGTACATAATTTGCTTTTAAATTTCCTGATTATGGATATATTTTTTGAGTTCTTTTACACACAGTGATCTTGGCAATGCAAATTTATCTGGTAAACTGGTTCCACGGCTTGCTCAACTACAATATTTAGAGTACTTGTAAGTCACACTTAGATCAAAATTCGATGCATTAAAATTTTTGTTCTTTCTTTTTTTCAGTTAATTTTTTACACATTATCCATGATAAGAACGAAAAAGTTCATTAGCCTAATAATTTTTCACATGAACTGATATGTTTTGTCTAATAGTATGGAGGGTAAGGGTGAAAACTTACACAAAGTTCCCACTTTTTTCCACTTTCGATCACTAGTTCTAACTTGATATATCTCTTATAAAAATATTAAACAACAGTTTTGTTTGATTAGTTATTCTTCAGTTTTAGATCCACACCAAAGATTTTAATCGTGAGCTGCTTTTTCCATTTCTTTGCTGATTTTGATTACAAGATTATCATCTGAACTCCTCTCTCCTTCCTTTTCTTCCCCCTTCTGTTGGCAGGGAGCTGTATAATAACAATATTAGTGGAAGAATTCCATATGAACTTGGAAACTTAACAAACTTGGTGGGCTTGGATTTGTATATGAACAACCTAGATGGCCCAATCCCTGACACATTGGGCAAGCTTCAGAAACTTCGTCTCCTGTGCGGGTTACTACTGTCTTTGAACTTTATGTTGTATACAGTGTTTTTTTTT